AAATTGGGGATTACAGGTCTTCTTGTAACTCTTGATGGTAAGCTGCACCTTTCACCAGCAGGCCCAGCACAAGGCCAAGTACCAATATGTTGGTAAGTTGAGTATATAAAGGAATTCTTCACCTGCAATGGTCATCAGTGATTCTTTGAATGTCAAAGCATCATCACATGCTGACTTCTGTAAAATCTACAGTTCATCTTGTTGATCCAATGGCTGGTGCACTCCAGATCATCAAAAATCAGAAGGCTGGTGAAAAGGCATACTACAATGGCTATTTATGCATGGTTAAGAGCACAAATGCCAGTACTAGGTGCTGGAAATGCGCTAATGAAGAAGGAGATGAGATAAGAGGGACACATTGAGAAGAAAAAAAACATTGAGAGCATCAGTGACACTGAGGAAGAGGCTGCAGAAGGCAATTTTGAAGATGATTATTTAACAGTCATTTTTGAGGACTGATGAAACCAAGCAGCCCTTCTCAGGGCCACCAAACACTTATGAAACTTGCATCCAAAAAAAAGTGGGGGGGGGGTGCTTTTGACCTAAGGGGGCTTTTGGCAGGGGGGATTTCCGGGGGGGGGGCTTTTGGCAGGGGGTCTTTTGGTTTGGTACCCAGAATCACAAGCTCCCCAAAGACTTTGGGCAAGTATAAATTTTTCTCACAATTTAGTAAATGTTGTAAATGCTTCACAAGAATCATCTTGACTGTTGGTCTGACTGACTTATGCAATGTCCCCCCTTTTGGTGTAATTCTACACAAAAAACACCCAGGTGCTGGGTTTTGTCACCCTCTGAGTGATGGTACACACCATCACCTAAAAAACATCATTTTCGTCTTGCATAAATTCATGCTGACGGATTTTTGTTTCCCACAAGATTTTTGGGCCTACGGAATTTTTCAGTAGCATGATTTTCTCATGAAGTTTGAAAAGAAAATTCGTGTTATGTCGCAGAGTTTCTGAGAACTTTTGATCAGCATATCCATCAGAAAAAGCAGGAAATTAGCAGCCGTCGGTAAACGGACCAAGCAGAAAACCAACCAAGAGCCCTAAGGCGATTTAAGCCGTCTTGGAATGTGGACCACTGCTTTTTTGAACAATGGGGCCCAGCTACCCCCAGAGTTACCAAACTTCCTTCCCCATTAACTTTATTCCCATCCCCCCCGAATTTCTTCCTTCGATCTTCATGATCATTATTTTTGTCTAAATAATTCTTACACAATTGCGCAGAATAACCTGAAAATGTGGAAACTAATGCCAGTTTGGCTTGCACTACTAACTATTGGTAGGTCTTGGAATTGTGTTTCTTTTATTTACTTAATATGAAAATTCAGCGCATAGCTCTGCTTCTTTGCTCCATAAAGAATGTGAGAAAATCGAACATGTTCTGTCTTTGAATGAAATTAAGCATCAATAAACCAGTCAATTTTAAGCTTTTAAGCATTTCTCGCGGCTTTTTTTTTTTTAGAAAAGATGCAATGCATCAACAACCCTGTGAAAAAAAAAATTATGTTTTCAGTGCAATACCTCTGTTAAACCTACTGGTACATATTATTTTTTTCCGTCTTGCATAGACCGCTTCAATTGACTCCTCTCTGGTAAACTTCAAATTCGAGATCAGCAGTTCGTCAAGAATTTATTATGCATTTATTGACCAAAGTGCCGTCCCTCAAAGATTTCTTTGAATGATCGGGTATGTAAGAAAATATGGAATATTATTCTGGTGTGAAATGCACTGCACTGTCCGATTCGATATTTCTTACTGAAAAACGGGATCAGTCATACACACCATGGTGAACTGGTATATATCAATAGCATGGGATTTTCAAGGTAGCGGATTGCCGATTTTGTTTACTGCAAAACGGTTGGTAAGCCTGAGCTTTGCGGAAATTTCGAAACGGCGTTCTTGGTTGGTTTACCAGTTGGTCGATCTTCCGTACGCCAGGACAGTGAAACTAATCCTTGTTTTTCAGAGGAAATCTATAATACTTTCGACCTCAGGTAAATGTATTTCCTGGGGATGAATGCTGGAAGAACTTTCGCTTGTCTCGACCTTGTCGATTCGTGGTATATATACCGGTACACCGTTTTCATCTCATGCGCAACTCTTTTACTGCGAGATATTTTCCTTGGTTCGCATTCGACCGGTTATACCCCTATTCGATAAGATCGTCATGTGAAAACTTCATTTTGAGGCATTTCTGCTGAAGTGAGGATAGCGCGAATTTTTTCGGAAAAATGTATGGTCCTTTAGTTCATTTACTTCCCGTGTTCAACTTGAAATTTAGCGATTTATCCATCTAGTGAAAGTTTTGCGTGGTCATCCCGGGATACTTATGTGTTCCATGAAAAGATCCCGCAGGAACAAAATGCAGCAGACCTGAAAATCTCGCAGGGTCCGAAACAAAACCCCCGTGTACTGCGAAATTTTAAATGTGTCTGCTGGGCTGTAACAGTGTATAATATGTCACTACTGTATAAGATGGCGACAAAGAATCAGTGCCTTTTCTCTTCCATATACTGTACTGTAAAGGCCTTTGCGTGGAGATCTTGAAGTTGAAAAATTTGCTGATTTTTAAAAATGTTTTTTACGATATTCATCGTGTGTTTGATATTGATTATTCAGAGGGAATGAAATATCACTATCAAGCTGCATGTGGACTTTTACAGTAACACTTATAGAAATTGTTTAAGAACCATTACAATTTATGTTTCTGGATTTTCGGACCCCGCGAGATTTTTAGGGGATTTTGCCCTGCACACTGTTCAAGGATGTTCGAATTTACTTTCTCAATCCCTCTTTTTTGTTTTCTAGAGATTTTCACTGAACAGGATTTTGTGCGACGGTTTTTGCTATGGAGGACGATCGAAAAGTTGGCAATAAGAGCAAGCCTGAAGCAAAAGCCATTTATCTGGAGTTGATTAGTTTTTTGACACACGGTCCAAAGTTCGGCTATCATCCTTATCAACCTTCACCAGCAAACATGGGCTATTCAAGCACTGAGCCAGTACCGGCCTATTTCAAACTCCGTGGACTGGGTTCAGTGCAAGATCATCAAATGCCGTTGGGGTTCTGGCAGGAATTCCCGCGAGTAGTTGTCAATAACGAAAATGACGCCTTTTACAAGAGACCTCACTATGAAGTGAGTGCATTAAATTCTTTTCGTAACAAATTCTGTTAAATATATTTTTCAGCATAACACAACCTTTCCCAAATCCTGATGGTAGCAAGGGAATAGTGTATACGGTTAAGCAGTCTCGTTATTACAATACCAGTTTCAATTCCAGTATACCAAACTTTTCCAGGAACGTGATTATTTTTCTTGATTTAAAAAATGCCTGGTAAATTCGGGCACATTTCTGTCGATATGTGTTGTATCACCGGTGTCCTTTTTCCTTGAAAAAAAAAATGCAGGTGTTGAATCGACTGAGGGATTGGGGGTTTGAGTTGCAATCGTTCACCCAGCATTTCTACGACCGCAAGCCGTTACGTGGAAGTCGAAGTGAACACCTTTACTATGTCCTATGCCGATACCCAAGCACAAGCACTTCTGCTTCCAGTGCTCATCAAACGGATATTCAAGACGTTACAGTTGAAGTTTCTGCGAACGAACAAGAAGATGCATCATCATTGAACTCGTCCGGACCTACCGTTGTTCCTAGCCCAATAATGAACGCACCAGAAGATCCATCATCAGCACAGGAAAATATTGCTGAAAAGCCTGTGCCAGAGGTACCATCCGACGGGGTACCAGCCAAATCAGTGGTTTCCGAAACGATTAAACCCGGGGTTACCTTTTCCTCCTGTAATTTCTTCCTTGGGACGCACCCATCATACCCCAAACCCTAAATGCGATTGTTTGTTGTAATGCAAGCAAAAGATATTTTTGATTCATTGACAATATTGTAAAAAGTGTTCATATGGAATTTTGTATGGACTCCGCGTGCTCGATTGAAATTGTTTTATACGTACAGTATTTCTGCGCATTTTTAATACTCAGTGAGGTTTGAATTCCCGATTTTCTGCCATGCCATTTACTTAAACTGGGCTCGATCTATACTGAGTTCATTTTGTTCTTATCTACCGGAGTGTTTGTCATGAAATAAAATTTTTAAAGTTATTAAACTTGTATGCAGCATGGTGAAATGATCAATTTATAATTTCAAAACCACAGAGAATAATTTTTCCTTATATTCCTTCCTCCTCCTTCCATAATAAGGAATGGAAAACAAATCGGTGGGGAAATCTTGATTGATGAGAATGATGACTCATCACAGTTCATGTGTGATAAAAACATTTCCAAGAACCATTTTCACGCTTTGGTTTCTCTTTGTTTTCGATGACAGCCTAATTCAAGTTCTACCACATCGCAGATGACGGCAGTATGCTTGTGTCGCTTTTTGTCTGACATAAACCATGAGGTTAAATTTTAGGGAGATCATATTCGTGAACTCCTCATTTTCCATCTGAGGACTGATGATTTCTGAGACCAACGAAACCTTAAGTGTGTTGCTCATCAACCAGTAACAAGTATCACAGTATACCACAGATATAACAAATATGCTATACATCGGAAAAGCATATCAATTACAAAGCTAAATTCCTTCTCTCTTAAAAATTTCATTTTAGTGAAATTCATACGAAGAAAATACATTCCAAGAAATTTTGGCATTGGTTTCTTTTTCTTCTGAGAAGAACAAGTGATCTTGTATTCAGTCGTAGTAAAAGTGTTCGAGTGTCTCGCATTTTGAGGATTGAAAATGTTCAAAATATTCCAAAGCACTGATTAATACCGTATTCGGTAATTTTTCTGGAATTGGCGAGACAAATAATTCGTCTGATTCCAATTTCTTCTTGAAAATCTTACGGCCAAATTGCACGTGGATCTTTACTGACCATATTGTAGTAAAAATACAATATTTGAAATCCAAAAAAATCACAAAATGGCCGGACAGGACTTGCTGTACCTCCACGGATTGTACAAGGCGATATGACGGGAGCCAACGCCATCTATGAGTTGGATGAAGTATTGGAGAGTAAAATGCCGGCAGAATTACCGCAAGGCCTTGGACTACTGCCAAAATCCATTACCCACTTCTCCAGTAATTTTTAAAATATATTTCTATAATAAATGGTATTCAATTCATGGTCTTCCTCATTGAAGATGCCAATTTTTTACTATTACAAGTGCACTTTATCCTTTCTACAAGGAATTGCTGGGGATCAGAAAAAATTCGCTGTAAGGAACGTTGATAAGTCAATGACAAAAAAATTACTTTGTTGCCTATACGTTGCATTGAAAAATGCCAGTTATTAGATAATTAGTCAATCTAAGTATCATCACCATGCAGCTTAAAAAAATATTTAACATTTGACTCAAGCACACAAGAAATTTACAAAATACAGACAAACTATGAAGTCTGATGCGAACTTGGTACCAAATGAAACATCTAAAAGTATGCAGAATGTATAGATATAATTATATGATTAAATATGGAGTGCGGAAAAATGGACAAAGAATGTATCTCCTGTACAAGCAGTAGGACATGCTTGACCACATTACACAAAACGTTGAATATTATTTTGCCATGCGCATACAGCAGTCTATAGAAGCTAGGTCTAACGCACCCCTTTTTTTGCAAATACTGTACTGTATTTAAGTCACTATCGTACTTTCATGTACTGTATAACCTGTGCACGATCAGATTGACGTAATTTTTTGGTAATCGAGCTACTGTTACTGAATGTATGATTACATTCATATACTTTCGTGTTCCTGGAAGCGTTTTACTTCACAGGGATAGAACGCCCCAGGGGAGGAAATCACTGCAGCTGTCGTGTTTATTTTTATTTTTTTTTGAAGACACGATTGAAGTGAAAGTAACCCTGCCGGTGAAATCCTTTTACCCGGAAATAAAGGCACAACTTTCTTCTTCCTTGACCTTGTCTGTTGATGGTTTCAACTGAATCTCAATATTCAGAATCTGTCACGGAAAAACGCTGCATAACAAAAAAATTTTAGTCCATATCATCAGGATGGCTCCGGCTGTTCAGGGATGAAGGAAAAAATCCAGGCAAAAAGGGAGACAATTCAAGCTCAATGCAGCAGGGTGCGGCGCCGCGTGACGTCAGAGACCCTTATGGTTCCAGGAACTTTCACCCTTGAAACCGATTCCGGTCTTCCCTTGCTAAAAGACGGGCAATTAGTGCCAGTTGGAACTGGCCAAGTTGGAAGGGGAATGGGGCTCATTTTACACTCCCTTTGACGTGCCGCGCGGCCCAAAACATATTTCCCGTGCACTTCTTTTGAAGGCCAGGGGAAATGGAGCATCCACCAAGGAGACCAGTTGTGCGGACCAATCGGCAACCTGATCGGGAAAAGTCGAGGATGCGAAGTGAGGAAAAGCGCGCCTCCAGGGCTTCGGGAAAATCGGCGGTTCCCAGCAGTTCAACTGAATCTCAATATTAGGAATCATTTTACTTCTTTTAGCGTTGTGTGCGGGTTATAAGTCGCCAAGTGGATTACTTGCATTAACAGAAAAAAAAGGGAATTGATATCGCGACGTTCCTGCTGAAGTGAGAAATCGAATGCGGAGGAACAAATGTTTCTTATTGATGGTGTTCATGAGTGAAGTTTTATCTTGCGTTGTTTTAATCATAAATTGAAGTATTATAGCTACACGTTTGGAAGGACGAAGAGTATGTGAAAATGATGGTCTGTAATTCCTCGGGAATCTTCAGTGAAGCTCCAAAATCAATCGAGTTTTGTTCCTGTATTCTTTTTCTTTTCTGTGATCCGTCGCGAAAAAGTACGTTTTATGAAAGTAACCGGCGATTACTATCAAGAGAAAAAATTTCGTAATACTGGAATTCTGCTGGGCCCACGGCTATGTATCTTCACGTTGAGTTCATGAACAACTCTTTACCTACAACTCAATGCATCATAATTGGATTGGACTCCGTGCCAGTTGATTTCATGCCCAGTGAATTCTGGGGGAAATTCGATCGATATGGTCCACACGTCTATGCTGGAGATCCCTTCAACAGTGAACCCCTATACTGTAGTTGAAAACCCGCGTGGTTCGCAAACGTTTTGTTTGAGGAAAAATCTCGAAATTTGAGAATTTGATTTTCAGGCTGAAATTTATGATGCAATCAAAGTGCAAATATTTCATCTTCGCACTGTTGTGCAAATTCCTTCCTGCCGAAATTTTAGCATGTTTAATCGTATGCTCAATTTTTTTCGTCAATCTATATTTATATGCTGTTCTGAGACAGAATTACTTGCTTTTCTGTTCTTGTTTTGTGTTCATCATCTCCCCCCCCCCCCCCCCGTTC